CTCATGAATGGATTAATGCTCTCCCTGGGGGAGGAGGGATTAATGAGTGAGTTCTCGCTCTTTAGTTCCTGTGAGAGCTTGTTGTTTATAGGATCCTGGCACCTCCTCTCTGTCTCTCTCTTGCTTCCTCTCGCCTGTGATCTGCTTGTACCCGCCGGCTGCCTGCCATTTTATGCCATGAGTACAAGCAGCCTAAGGCCCGCACCAGATGCAGCTGTCCCAGAATTGTAAGCCAAATAAACCTCAGTTTTTTATAAATCACCCAGTCTCAGGTATTCTGTTATAGCAACACAAAATGGACTAAAACAGTGGTACTCAGTAAAATGTTTTTCTTATGAGCTTCAGACTATCAGAAAGCCTTTATATCAAATGGCTCTTTTTTTCCAAAAGAGGTTCAATCTTTTTTTAGATCCTGCATAAAATATTATAAACAAAATCCTCTTGACGAGCAACACATTTTTCAGCTGCCAGTCAGATCAACTGCTATAAAAAACTTATATCAAAGGTAAGCAATTTAATAATTAAATTATACTTTAAGTTTTGCTATAATTATAGGCAACTCGGTGTTCATGTTCTCTGGGGACCTCGTGACCCAGAATTGCTTTAGCTCTGAAACCTTAATCATTTTTGTCCCGCTCTCTTACCATAGTCTGATGGAGTTCTCCCCCTTCTTTCTCCTGGACCTTGTGTCTACTCTCTGTAGACTGTTGGCATCCAGTTTTTTATTTTTCTCTCCATTTGTAATTCCTTCAGAGAATAGATTTGGAAGTATGGCCGGAAAGGAAATGACAGATTGGGGGGAAAATGATCAGGGTAATGACAGCAAGGTCAAGGGTATGGCTGTGGGAGTGAGAGAAGGGTTTGGGATTAGGGGAAGTAGGGAACTGTGAGGCTAGGATGAGAGATTGGCATCCACACCTATGCTGAGATTGCCTCCAATGATAGTCTCCCCTGAGCCTTCCCTCAGCATATAATATACTTGAAACTTCTCTCAGACTACAACTACTCTATTTATACCCTTCCTCTATTTAGTTACTTCGTAACCATCCCCATCACTGTTCCTGAAACTGCTCTGGCAAAGGCATTCAGTAGTCTTGTAATTGCCAAATCCAGTGAACACTTCTCAGTTAAAAGAAAGGTTTTTAGCTTCCTCTATTTAGTTACTTCGTAACCATCCCCATCACTGTTCCTGAAACTGCTCTGGCAAAGGTCATCAGTAGTCTTGTCATTGCCAAATCCAGTGAACACTTCTCAGTTAAAAGAAAGGTTTTTAGCTCCTTGTGTAATTAGCTGGCCCACCAATTCTTTCTGCTTCAATAATCACTTAGAAGGTGGTTTGGCATTTAGCACTATTTGCTTTCTTGAACCCATCTCCTTAGTTTCTGTGACATAGCATTCTGTATTAATTTTAATTCTACCTCTCTGGCCCCGCTCCAAGACTGAGAATAGATCTCTTTTCAAGTTCTTCCTCTCCCTTGTATGTGAGTTTACACCAGAGCTCCACCCTCTGCCCTCTTTTCTTCTTACTTTCTGTCTTCCCTGGGTGATATAACATTCATACTCCAGGCTTCAATTCTTGTGGACTAATGGTAATTCATAACGCATATCTCCAGCTTCTCCTGAGCTTCAGACCACGTTTCTAAATGCCTATTAGATGTGAATTCCCAATTTATTGAAGTAGTAGTTCAGACTCCGAAGCCGAAAACCTCATCCTCTTCTTCACATCATCATTACTTTATTTCACATCTGCATCATTTCATACCTGGTCTAAGGTAAAGCCTTTTTCTTAACTGCTCTCTCTGTCTCCATTGTCTTCCTTTTCTGTGTCACTGCCAAAGGGATCTTCCTAAAACTAATATCCCACCATGACTTCCTTCTGTTGAAATAGCTCCCTTTTATCATTAGGGCAATGCCCCCGTGTTTTAGCATGGTCTCTGAGGTCTTCTGTGCCTGGCCATGCCTTTGTGGCATGTGTGCCACCAAGTCATCCCACTTCCCTTTTGTCAGAGACACTGTGTTATTGCACTTCTTCAGATGCTCCACACTCTTCCCCCTCAATGCCTGTGCACATGTTGTTCCTTTGTCCTGGACCTTATTTGCTCACCTCACTATTTGTTATTTAATATTCAGCTCAAACACCATAATCTCTGAGAATTCTTTTCCAACTCTACAATCCCCAATCTGTCTTAGATTCTTGTCTTCTATTATTCTGTAACACATTCAGTATTTCTCTATTATATATATATATCTTTTTTTCCCCCCATTGAATTATTTGTATCCTTGTTTCTCTACCTCTCTTGACTGTACTTCTCGAGGGCAGGAATTGTGACCTCTGTTTATCTCATCTTCCTCAGTGCTTATCACATAAGGACTTTACTAAATGGCTACAGAAGGAAGGAAGGAAATAGCTGTTTTAAAAATTTATTTCTTTAATTGTTTTTTTCTTTTCTTAGTGAGAAGCCACAGAAATGGAGAGTGGAAATAAATAGTGGACAAAAGAAGGTTAAGACAGTTTGGCAACTGAGTGACAGCTCACCTGTAGACCATCTGAATTTTCACAAACCTGGTAAAGATGGTTTGTAATCTATTCAGATAGATTATTCCATTAGAAAATAAACTAAATCTTACTGGGATTATGGTATAGCTCTTGTGCCCAGTTTTAAATAATTTTCATGAACCCTAGGTGTAAAACATTCTTTTAAAAAATCTATCATTTTTGTGCAAATATAATGCCCAGAAAAATTCTATGTATAATAATCACAAAAGAGTGATTTTTCTCTTTATCGTGAATAGGGGAACTTTTATTAAAAGAAGTTAAGGAATAGGACATAAGAGTAAAAATAGGTTATAAGATGGAAATGCCAGGTTATAATTTATGCTTTTGTGTACCGTTTAAAACTGTGATGATATTTCTGCCCTAGTATCTTCTCCGCAACTGAAATAAGGGTTAAGATTTCTAGTAATCTATCAAAGAGGGTCCCTGTTAGTGAGAGAATGTCTTTTAGCCTTTCATATGATTAGCTAGCCCACCAAGTTGTCCTCCTTCAGTAAATACCTATAAAACTCTTATCTTAGGGGCCAGCCCGTGGCTCACTTGGGAGAGTAGTGTGCTGATAACACCAAGGCCACGGGTTCAGATCCCTATATAGGGATGGCCGGTTGGCTCACTTGGGAGAGCGTGGTGCTGACAACACCAAGTCAAGGGTTAAGATTCCTTACCAGTCATCTTATAATAAATAAATAAGTAAATAAATAAAACTCTTATCTTCATGCACATGAACTGTATGGTGCCATTGTCTTTTGTTCATATAGGTCTTAAATGGCTACATCCAAATATTTCAAGAATTATGTGAAAATAGATCTGATAGTTTTCAAAGAATCTAAGATTTCAAAGGCCTATGATCAACCACTTCTGGAAATACAAATAATTCTATTTTACTGATTGATGCCTTTCTTGCAAAATTGTTTCCAGAAAATGTTTATTCTTCCCCCCCCCAAATATGAGGGCATTTTAGGAAGTTCATGGAGTCATATTATCTTTCAGTTCTATTTTCCATGAACTTTTTGAAATACCGGCGTATATTTTGATTCAGTCATAATGGAAACTTCTGTCAAGTAGAGGCTCTGTTCATATATCTGAACTGCAAAAGTCCTAAAGAAACTGAAAGAATTTTCCTGAGAGCCATCAGTTAAAATCATGCTATGTCTTTTGTGTGGTGTAAAACCTGGAAGCTGTACGAGATTGAAAGTCAACTATATAAAAATAGAAAAATTTTGGCATGGCAAAAAATATCAAAGGCAGGGCCAGCCCGTGGCTCACGTGGGAGAGTGTGGTGCTGATAACACCAAGGCCAGGGGTTTGGATCCCTATATAGGGATGGCTGGTTAGCTCACTGGGTGAGCATGGTGCTGATAACACCAAGTCAAGGGTTAAGATCCCCTTACCGGTCATCTTTAAAAAAATATATATATATATACCAAAGGCAAAACAACAGACAAATGATAAACTAGGAAAAGAAATTTGCAACTCATGTTCAAAAAAGGGGCTACAGGGCCGGCCTGTGGCTCACTCGGGAGAGTGCGGTGCTGATAACACCAAGGCCACGG